TTTCAAATAATATAATAATTATTTTAAATAAAATTATAATGACAATTATATTATAAAATATTTATTTTAAGAAAATAATTTAATTAAACGAAATAAAATAAATTCTATTTCATTATTAATTATTATATATAAACGAATAAAATAAAATAAAAAAACTAATTCTCTTACTTCTTGTGGAATATAAAAAATTAATCTCGAATGTTGAAAAGGAATAAATGAAGAAGATTTATCATTTTGTATATATGCAGCTGATGTTACACGTCGAAATAATGAACTTTTACGTGAATGACATTTTCCATCAGAAAACGAATAGAAATGAACTAAAAGAGAAGTTTTTTTTTTGAGATAAACAAAAAAAAAAAAAAAACATTTTTTGTAAAATAAACTTACGAAAACTTTTATCAAATAGCGCAACAAAAGATGATCTTGGATCTTGAGCAAAAGCATGAACATGCCATGAAAATGATTTAATAAATAATCCATTTGAACAATTCCATAAATTAACTAATGTTTTATGACAAACAAGAATTTGATCAGATGAATATAAAATATATTTAACTGGATTTTTTCGATCAAAATGAGCAAAACAACGTGAATATTCATAACGAGATTCTTCATTTAAATCATTTGTTTTATTAATCCATTCAATAACTAAATGTTCAAATGAACAACATAAATTTATTTGATTTGATGATGATAATTTATAATAAGATAATGCTGAACTCGAATATGAACGATTTGTATGACCAGATAAACAACGCCAATGTGATACACGTTCTAAACAAGATTTTTTTTTTTTTAAGAATTCTATATTAATATATGAATTATTATTTAGAAACAAACAGAAAAGAAAAATAAATCTATTTAAAATGTTCTTTCTGTTTGATATATAAAATATTCGAATTAACTTTTTTTTTGATAATATTGTTTAAATGATATTGAAATTTTCAAAACTCTGACGAACAAAATCTTCCTAACTAATAGACTTCATTTCAGCTAACTTTTTACTCATTCCTATTGTTTATACTCGAGATTAAAGAAAACCCTAAAACGATTGTTTCGATTAGGTTCCTGTTCTCGACTTATGATCATTTTACTTCATTTTTAATTTAGTTCAACCATCGTTGATGCTTCAACCGAAACGGATGCTCTATTATTAAGATAAGAACTATTACCAAAAAAAAAACAAAAGACTTTTATGAGAAAAGAGTCGAAAATATTCGATTCGTTTATCATCCAGTATCTTGACAATAAATAATCCACTCTTCAATTAAACTTTAATAATATAATAAGAATCATCAGATATTTTTTTTTCAGGCGAAATTTCAGGATTGGAATTGATTGATTTAACTAACTTTGCTTATAATACCCTAAAATCGAAGGTTATTTCAGTTAAATGATCATAAATCGAAAACAAAGACCTTATTGAAAAAAATCATTTTACTATTTTCATCTGTAATATTAGCTGAAATAGAGTTAAGCAGTTAATGAGAATTGATCATGATAATAAATTTTGTCGAATGTATTTCCATATATATTTATTGTTAATTGAAAAAATATAATTATTTTAAAAAGAAAAGTTTACTTGTTATTGGATTTTCTTGAATAAAATTCCAAATTTTAAGAAATCCATCATTTCCAGTTGTTGCTAATTCAAGTTTAGTTGGATGAAATAACATTTCATTTAATGTTTCTTGTCCATGTGGATACATAATAGTTGTATTTAATTGAAATCTTTTGTTTTAAATTTAAATAAAATAAAATAATGATTCAAAACAAATCTTACTGATTATTTGTTTGATTAAATATCCAAAATCTAAGTTTTCTTTCATTTTGATGATCATCAAAATTTGATATTGATGAACGTTCTTCAAAAGTAACTAACCATGTATCTTAATTAAATTAAATATTTTCAAAAAAAATTAAAAAGAAAATTCTTTTTAAATAAATAAAACCTGTTGGATCAATAGCTAAACGTTTAATATCTGTAAAAAGACATTGGTCTGTTATATCATTTGGTGAAACATAATTTTCTCCAACAATATCCAACTTAATTAAATATTTTTTTTTTGTTTTATTTAAATTAAAAATTATTTTATTTTCTTACATTATAAAGTAATTTACCATTATGAACTGAAATAAATTGAAGATAACCAGGTTTTCCACTATTCATAACAAGTGCTTCTTGACGCATAAATGCATGAATACCTTAAATAACAATTTTTCACATATTCAAATTATTATTTATATTAATTGAAAAGATTTCAATAAAAATAATTTATTTTTTTATTCTAAACACTTTATCATGAAAGAGATTTAATTTTCATTATGGAATATCATGTTACCTATCTACATTTATTTATCACAGAATAACAATAGAAATTTTTAGATTTACATTTTACGTATGTCTCACACTGACCTGAACTACTAGAAATTCGTGATAAGTACGCATTACATGAAAAAAAAAGATTTACTTAAATATTAATTTCTCTTTTCCGACGATCAAATAAACAAAGATAAAAGTAGTTAACTTATTCACAAGAAAAATGTTTATTCTTCTCTCAATGAAATTGTGCTGATATACTCGTAACTGTTGACTACATCATATCCTATTCCAAGAATATTTCCTTAAGACAGATTTCCAATGCGCTTATGTATCGCATCATTAATCTAAAAAAAATCTCTTATTAATTACTTTTTTTAAATTTTATTATATTTTAGTGTAGTTCGATTGCATGAAACTTTATTATAAAAAATAAATAATAAGAGTATATTGAGTGATTACTCTTATTATATCTCGATCACAAAATTGATGCGTCATTTCGAAATCTCCTAATTATATTTTCTTTAGTTAAATCTTAAGAAATTCGCTCTAACATACTTTAACTCGAGAAAGTCCATAGTTGTTCAGCTTTGAAATGTCGAATTTTACCGTTTTTCACATGAAAAATTTCAAAAAA